GGGTTGTGCAGGGCAAGGGGGGGAAGGAAAAGCTGGCGAAAAACACATGGGAACCAACAGTCTCAGGAGAATATCTGGTTTCCACTGAAGAGGACCTGCCTTCACGCGAGGCCCTCAGGAGGCGGGTTCTCCGACGACAGATTTTGGTACGACGCCAGAGAGCCTTACAACGACGATGACGAGCGCTACGACGACCACGACGGCGACGAAGGGTTCGGCGACGACGGGCATGAGCGTTCGGACCGCAACGTCGACGACGGTCACGACCACATCGACGAGCAACGCGGCGACGGCGGCGACGAGCGCGGCGACGCCTACGGCGACGAACGAGTCGACGACAGACGAGCGTTACGACGTCGGCGACTGCAACAAGCGTTGCCGAGACGATGGCAAGGGTGACGACGACCACGTCGACGCGGGGCGTGCGATGCCGATGCCGTCGAGTTTTACGGCAACGAAGACGAGCGTTAAGACGACGCAGAAAACGAACGTTGCGACGTCAACGCCGATGGGCGTTACGACGACGTCGGCGACGAGTACCACGAGGACGAAGGCAAGCGTGACGACGGCGGCGAGCGTTCATACCATCCCAGGCAGTCCCCTGTCGCCCCTTTCACCCCCTGCAGAAACAAAAATGCTGTACGCACGCGCTCGTGCCTCGAACGTCAGTAGTCTTCGACAGCCCCTTTGCGCAGCAGATGCGGCGACGTGCACACGCCCGCGCTGTCGCGCGCGCACGCCGGAGCCCTTCAGACAGTAGTTTCCGCGCGGCTCAACATCGAGTGCCCCGACAGCACATGCAAAAACCAGTGGTCTCGCGACGCGATTTTTCAAGAAAGCATGCGCTCGCGCTCTGGCCAATTCTCAAGACAACTTGTATGGTTTTGCAACATATTCATCAAGTGCTACATAATATGCCTCTCGCGCGCGTCGTGTCGGAATCCTTCGAACGCCCTTTGCGCGCGTGCTGGCGCCAGAGCCCCTTGCAACAAACGGGACGAAGTGCACGCGATCGCGTCGGCGCGCGCGCATGCCGAAATCGCTCAACATCCGTAAGTTCCGTGCGGATTTCAACACCGATTGTACCGAAACCATAATGAGGCACATGGTTTAGCAACAGCAGTTGATCAAACAAAAGGGTCTGTGCGCGCACTCGCTCTGGCGAACTCTTAAGAACACCGTTTTGTTTTCCCCGCATTTTCAAAACAGCAACAAACATACCAAACGGGCCCTCTCGATCTGCATGTCGACCTCATTCGAACGCCCTTGCGCGCGTGCGGGAGGGGGGGGGGCACGGTCAAATAGTACCATGCGGGCCACTCTTGCGCGTCGGCCGCGCGCGCATGGCGGTGCGTCGGCCGTGCGCGCACGGCGAACTCTTTTCCAAACCCTTCGTCGCCGAGGCGGGGACATCGTCGTCGTTGTCGGCGTTATCAGCATCGGCGCCGTCATTGGCCTTGCCGTCGTCATCGTTATCATCGTCACCATCATCGCTACTACCATCATGGTGTCTACCGTTGTCGACGTCGCCATGATACTGCGCCCGCCCAAGTCACCGCCTCGTATTGAAGTGCCCAGTGGGTGGTGCCCAGCGGTCAGCGCCACTGCGGCTGCGTCCGTCGTGCCCAAGTAGCTGGCCGCTGTGCGTGCGAGCATACGCGGGCGAGCGCGGCCGCAGAGATGCACCGGCCAACACTACGCATTCATCGCAATCGACGCCGCATGTGTTTTGCAAACCAAGATGCGGGTGGGTGGGTGGATGCGATGATTGCGCGAGGCGTAGAGTTGGCAACTCCAAGTTTTTCAAAGTTCCATTGCGCCACATAGATTGCACCACCTTTTGCCCCACTTGCAATGCACAACATACATATACTGCTAGAAGCTAGAAGCACCCAATGTAAGGCTCACGCTGGCTGGCATCTTTACGTGCACATACATAATATATATATATATATATATATCTATATATATATGAACATATGTATAACATGTATGCGTGCATGTATGTCTGCATGCATAGGCGAACTTCGCCTGAGTATCTGCCAACAGATGGCGAATCCGTGGCTAGGCTCGGGGTCGTCAAAATCGCGAAAAACGGCGTGCACACGAGGGCTCGAGCGCGGCGAGCAGAACGCATGTGCCAGGCTAGAACACGGGTGGCGAGGGTCACTTTCTGAGACGGGCGACAGACGTTGTTGGATGCCGTCATGTCCGCTGCTGGAGGCTGCAGCGCACGGCTCGGTCAGTTTTTTGCTTTCGCGCCCCCTCCCTCCCTGCCTGCCTCTCTCCCCCCTGCCTCTCTTCCCCTCCACCCGCTCGCCCCATCCCCACGCTCATCTTCGGCATGCCGCCCTGTAGAAGCCACCGCGGGGCCCACCGCCACCCACTGCCATCGGGCAAGCCGGTCCCGAAGATCTTCGTCGTTTTTTTGGTCTCCGTGGGCCCTTCATGGGCCCCGGGGCAGTCAAAATGATTCTGCGGGACGGGAAAATGACCACAGCCACTGCGTCTCGTTTGAGCCGCCTTCCAGCCGGCCGAAAATCAAGAAGTGGTTGTGGTCATTTCCCTGGTGCCAAGCTCAACGAAAATGACCACAACCACTGCTTTGTTTCTGCTGGCTGGAAGGCGGCAATAAAAGCAAAGCAGTGGCTGTGGTCGTTTTCGCGTCCCGTAGATTCAGGATGAAAAGTTCGTCTTGGGGAAGGCCTTGGTGCCCAGGACCCGTTTCCCTCGGGACCCGCTTGCGTCATGCCAGTCCGACCCCTGGGGCAGAGTGTTGTCGGGAGGGGCCCGCTCCGCGGCCTGGCGTGCAGGAGTGCATTCTGGCACGCCATGTGTTCTCGGCCATTGGTTCTTTGCGTACATTGCACATGTAGTTGAAGGCTCGACGCAATTTTCAGGTTTGGATTGCGAGCAGCATGTTTCGAATCAGTGGCTCATCTGGGAGCGCAGACTGTGCGCGCAGGAAGAAAACTCAGCTACGGGCAACAGGGCCAAAGCAGGGCTCGTGAGCACCTGAAGTAGCACGGGCATCGTTAAGTGGTCCAGGACCCCCTGGCATATACACAAGCAGGACCAACGAAGTATTCGCACAGGTTTGGTGGCGAGAGAGGCGCGGAGTGATCGTGGAAGTTGCTCTGCGGTTGGCGGCGCACACTCGTTTTCGATTCCGGCAGCAGGTAGTCTAGCTGCGCATATTCGGTTCATTGCTGAACTCGTTCGCGGCATTTCTGTATTGACCGTCGCCTGAGTCGTCCCCGCCTTTCTTCGCGCATGCCAGCCCGCAAATACTCCTCGTCAGGCCCCGGCGGCAAAGAAGCAAGCCAAGACGGCGAAGCCTGGCCAAGAAGCGAGAAAACAGGCCATTGCAAGGAGCTCGTTGCACTCGTTTTTTTTCTCTCACGGTTAGGGGAAGAACGTTGCCCTTCCATTTGCAGTGTGCTTGTGAGGTGCGGCAGACGGGAGCAGCAGGCTGGGCGGCGGCGCAGTGTATAATTTGGGCAGCGAGTTGCAGTTTGGGTGTTGTCGATTTGGCGGCTGCATGGGAGCACCATTCAGGCGCAGAGAACCATCCGACGGGTCGACCCAGGTTGGTCAGTGGCCAGAGTTCGGGTATAGCCAGGACCCCAGGTAAGGGGACCTGGTGAGTAGTGGGGCCCTGGAGCCCCTCAATTGGCCAGAATCGCTATACCAGGTCTGCCGTAGCTGGTGCTTTTCCGGGTGACGGCAGTTCCGGCTCGTGGAACGGGGCGGGGGAGGCGCCCCCCCGTACACGTCACTGAGCCAGGTCCCTCTGAGTCCAGTTCCGCCCGCGCCCGTGCTGGGAATTCCTGCCTCCTCCGCTCCCTCCGTCGGCCACGGGGCGGCCACGGGCGGGCGGCGGGCGAAACCACGGAAGACACAGCCAGCGAACGGCGAGGCCAAACGAGGCGACCATCGGGCCGACATTCCCTACCTACCTACCTGCCTGCCTGCCTACCTACCTACATACATGCAGGCATGCATCGACACATACATACATACATACATACATACATACATACATACATACATACATACATACATACATACATACATACATACATACATACACACATACACACATACACACATACACACATACACACATACATACATTCATTCATTCATTCATACATACATGCATGCATGCATGCATGCATACATACACACAAACATACACATACAGACAAACATACATTCATACATACATACATACATGCATACATGCATGCATACACACAAACGTACATACACACATACATACACACATACATACGTACATACATACATCCAGACAAACATATAGACATATAGACATACATACATACATACATACATACATACATCCATACATACATACATACATACATACACACATACATAAACTCATACATACATGCATCCATACATACATACAAACTTACACACATACATACACACATACATACATGCATGCATACATACATCCATACATGCATGCATACATACATACATGAATACATACATACATACATACATACACATACATACATGCATACACACATACATACATACATACATACATACATACATACATACATACATACATACATACATACATACACACATACATACCTACACACCTACATACATACATACATACATACACACACATACATACATACATACATACATACATACATACATACATACATACATACATACATACATACATACATGTACATACATACATGTACACACATACATACATACATACATACATACATACATACATACGTACATACATACATACATACGTACGTACGTACGTACGTACGTACGTACGTACGTACGTGCATGCATGCATGCATGCATGCATGCATGCATGCATGCATACATACAAACATACATACATACATACATACATACATACATACATACATACATACATACATACATACGTACACACGACACATGTATATATGCACATACACCTCTCGCCCACGAGGCATTCAAGACGCCCCAGGGAGGCTTCCGTAGTCGGTTTGGCTTAGGAGCCGTTTCGGCTGGCGATCTGCCTGCAAGCCTCCAGCTGCGATTCTCCCGCGCTGACGTGTCAGCACCCGCACTCCCCCCAGCCATGCAGAGCACAACCGCCTGCACCAGCGGCGGCTCCATCAAGAGTGATGCGTCGACAAGCCTCGAGCTGCAGACGCTGTCGGTGAGCTCCCTGCCCACCATGCACGACGCGCCGGACGACCTGTACGGGCCTCTCCTGCGCGGGTCGGGGTCGGCCGTCCTCTTCGGGTGGTGGCCCCGCTCCCGCTCCTGGGCCCGGGCGGAGCTCGTCGAGCGGACGACGCGATGCCTCCCCGCGGTGCGGCCGAGGGTGGACTTCGTCGCGCTCCCGCGGCTGCCCGAGGTCGAGGCGCTCTGGGGCTGCTGGAGCGAGGCGCACGGGCTGGTCTCCGAGCAGGCCATCTGGTTCCACCCGAGGCTCGAAGGGCCCAGCGCCTCCGCCGATCCTGCCCTGGAAGTCTGCAGGGAGGTCTTGGCGCAGATGGCCGGCTCCTTCAATGTGGTGTTCTACCCGATGTACTGGTTGTCTGCGATCGCGCAGGAAGCCACGAACTTTAACATGCCGATCGTTGGGGACCCCGAGGACCACAGGCTCATGCCCCTGAACGCGGCCAAGGCTTGGCTCCACCCGCACATCGGTGCACGTGACAGCCCTTGCTTGCGCACTGTCCTCTCGGCCCTTGGAGGCCGAATCCGGGGGCCAAGGGGATTTGTGGCCTTCAACGTCGATGAGTTGCGCGAGGCTTTGGCGCAGCTTCGTCGGGAGTGCCCAGCTGGGACGAAATTCGTGCTGAAGCCAGCTGCGGGCTCAGGGGGCTGCGGCGTCGTGCTCGATGCAACGGAGGCCCACGTGGATGCCTTCGTGTTCGGCTCGTCCGGGGGTTCGGCGATCCTTGAGGAGATGGTTATCGGATTGGACACCCCGCAGTCCCCAACACTCTACATGATCGGGGACACGCCTTGCGGGCCCCTCGCCGATCAAGTGCTCGCGGACGACTGCTCCACCAATCTGGGGAACCGGTTCCCATCCATGCTGCAGGATGAGGACCTCTTCAGCGCTTGCGTGAAAGCCTCCCAGGAGATCAACAAGACTTGGGGGATGACAAGCAATTGGGGCCTCGACTTCGTCCTCGACAAGGGCGGAGACGCAGTCATCGTGGACATCAACATGGGACGCCCGAATGGGAACTTCGCCGTCCGGCTGTGGGCCAGCCTTTCCGAGAAACCGCTGACCGTGTTCACAGGATCGTGGACGGTTCCTGTTCACGGACCTTCCATCGAGAGTATCTTCGAGTCTTTGCGTGCGGCGAACATCCTTTGGAATGGCGATGAGGGGGTCATTGTGTACCAACATGTGCCCGGCTGTCCTTCCAGCTACGCCATTGCGAGTGCACGTGGTGCCGATGGTGTTTCTCAGCTTCAAGCGCGTCTTTCCAAGACAATGCTTGATGTGAATGGCGTTGTGTTGCCGTAGAGATCCAGTCAGCACATAAGGCCTACGGGCCTTGCATGTGCACATGGTGCCATAGTGGGATATTGATGTGCATGTAAAGATCGTAGTGCGCGTCAAGCGCACATGATGGAAAACGTGTTTGTGCACGCCCATGATTGTACAGTTAAGCAGTCCCTGGAGGCAGTGTGAAGCAAACCATGCGTTCATAATATCCAGTCGCCTCTGCCAGCGTTTTGTGTGTGAGTCCGCTCAAGAGCGCGGTTGTGACTTCCATGCTGGTTGAAGTCTGTTCCGGATTAGAATGCACGTCGCAGCATGTGCGAGGTCATTTCATGTGGCAGTCGGTGCCAAAGCACGTTGCCATCAATACACCTTGGCGCGTTATCAGTTGCGCCCTGAAGCCGGAGTCGATCGAGTCGACTCCCCAGCACAAATGCTGTTCAGCTTCTGGCGCCTGTCAATTGATCCGTACCTCCTCCTCGTCTTTGTCTTCCTTTCTTCGCGTCCTTCCCAGGCCTTCTGTTCCTTGTGCTTCCCTGCTCTTTCCCTTTTTCTCCTTCTCAACGTAAGGCTCACAAGTCAACTGTTTGAAAGGATCGTGTTACTTATTCATAGGCGTCGTGCAGCGTGTCAATTCACATTGTCACGCATACCACGATGCCATTTAACGAATTGTTCTCCTCTAGAAGGATGCTCGCGACAACGGCGACGTCGTCTCACGTGACTGATCGTGCCGAAGCATGTTGCCAGCCACACAGGCGTGTTCTTTTGCAGTTTTGGATGGATCGTGTACTTCCTGCCCGCTGTGCTCAAAAAAAAACGCCCGAGGGAGGCTCCAAAGTGCCCTCCGAGAGAGCTGCTATGAGGATAAATCAATGAGTTTCTGCTGTTCTCAATGATTTCTAATTGGTGGTCTGCTCCGCTTCCCGACGCGCGGGGACGGCCCCAGAGACATCCACGAGAGAGGCCCCGCGCACCGCAAGAAGGCTTACTACGAGCCTCGACGCCCCAAAGGGGTTCCACACTCGGCCGAGGAGCCCCGAAAGGCTTCTCAAATGAGCCTCGACACCCCGACAGGGTCCTGCAGAGTTCTCCACGATGGCCCCCACACGGCTGCAACCATTAGGTTTCATGAGAGCCTTCTGGCAATGTTATTCTCGTCGCCCGTCAATGGATCAGAAGACTGCAGTCTTTCACATGAGCACCGACACACCGAAAGGGGCACACAGAGGCCTCCACGAGGGCTCCCACACGGGCGCGCTTTCAGGTGCAAGGGGAGCCGTCCGGGAACCTGATTGTCATTGTCGTCGCCCGACATCAGAGCAGGAAGTTCTCCAGGATTTCCTGATGTTGCCCAGAGCCCTCCGTGACAGTGATTGTGGCAGCCAGTCCGCGGAAGACACGACAGGAGGAGGATAATGAGGAGGAGGGACCGACTGATCCAATGCGCTTCCGTCTCCTGCACCCCACGCTCAAGAACACCGTCAAAAGAAAATACGTTCAGTGCGTGCTGTGGGGATTGCGCATACATATTTAGATACACACACACATCGGTACACATACACGCAGCCATACATACATACATACATACATACATACATACATACATACATACATACATACATACATACATACATACTTACATACATACATACACACATACATACATACATACAAACATACATACATACATACATACACACATACATACATACATGCATACACACATCCATGCATGCATGCATCCATACATACATACACACGCACGTACATAATACATACATCGACACATACTACATACATACATGCGCATGCATGCATGCATGCATGCATACATACATACATACATACATACATACATACATACATACATACACACATACATACATACATACATCCAGACATACATACATACATACATACATACACACATACATACATACATGCATGCATGCATGCATGCATACATACATACATACATGTATTGTAGTGGCCTCCGGCCAGTGCCGCCGATCCGGGGCGCTCCAGATGATGATGATGATGATGATGATGATGATGATGATGATGATGATGATGATGATGATGATGATGATGATGATGATGATGATGATGATGATGATGATGATGATGATGATGATGATGGTGATGTGACGATGGTGATGGTGATGGTGATGGAGATGGTGATGATCCCGCCCCCCCCCCTCTCCCCCCCTCTCTCCTGTCCCCCCCCCCTCCCCCTCTCTCCTGTCCCCCCCCCCTCTCTCCTTTCCCCCCCCCTCTCTCCTGTCCCCTCCCCTTCCCTCCCTCCCCCCCCTCCCCCCCACTCCTCTCCTGTCCCCCCCCCCCTGTACTTCCAGCACCCCCCTCTCCCCCCACCCCTCTCCTCCTGTCCCCTCCTCGCCCCCCCTCCTCTCCTGCCCCTCCCCTCCTCATCCTGTCCCCCCCCCCCCCTCTCTCTCCTTTCCCCCCCCCCCCCTCTCTCTCTGTCCCCCCCACCCCCTCCCTCTCCCCCCTCTCCTCTTCCCCCCCCCCTCCCCCCCCCTTCCTATCCCCGCCCCCTCTCTCCTGGGGGCTGGCAGGGGGGGGGAGGTGCCGAGCACTGAACTCGTCAGTTAATTACGACCCCCCCCTTCCCCCCTCCCAAGCAGAGCTAAAGCTCATGCTGAAGTACAGTGCACTATCATTCAATCGGGTATATATATATATGTATGTATGCAACATCCAATCGTGTATTTTGTTATCAGGATGTTACATCATGCCATGTTCTATGTGGTCTTGGCATCGGGTATTGACTATGACATAGCAATACATAATAACACACACTATCGCATGACACAGCATTACATACCATAGTATACGATGCCGTAGTACAGTTTAGTCGAACACAGTATCATTCAATGTTCCAATATAATGGAATAGTACATAATTTAACAACGTGACGCAGTCCACGACATCATACTATACAATGCTTTTAATATCGAAGTTCATTATATATCAGAATTTCGTAGACGGTCTTTTATACGATGGTATACTTTAACACTGTGTACTTTTAAATAATATAGTACAATGTATGCCAACACAATCTATGGTAGTATAATATCGTATTTTATAGATGTAATGTTGTGTCTTCGAGTTTAGTGTGTACCATGTCATGGTACACACACTTTTGCTATAAGGCATTATGCATAAATATTTCCTTCATTATTCCACCGTCTAGAATCATACAGTATGACAAACGAAACAAAACGCAGGCATACTATGTTTAAAGCTGTAGGGTTATGGGGCTGTAGGGCTGCAGGGCTATAGGGCTACAGGGTTATAAGGCTAGAAGGCTATAGGGCTATAGGGCTATAGGGCTATAGGGCTATAGGGCTGTAGGGCTATAGGGCTATAGGGCTATAGGGCTATAGGGCTTTAGGGCTGTTAGGGCTATTAGGGCTATAGGCTATAGGGCTTTAGGGCTACAGGGCTATAGGGCTATAGAGTTATGGGGCTATGTAGGTATAGGGCTATAGGACTATAGGGCTATAAGGCTATAAGGCTAAAGGGCTATATAACTAAATGGCTGTAAGGCTATAGGGCTATAGGGCGATTGGGCAATATGGCTATAAGGCTATAGGGCTACGGGGCTATGGGGCTATGGGGCTACAGGGCTACAGGGCTACAAGGCTATAGGGCTATAGGGCTACAGGGCTATAGGGCTATAGGGCTATAGGGCTATAGGGCTATAGGGCTATAGGGCTATAGGGCTATTAGGCTGTAGGGCTATAAGGCACCCGGGCTCCGCGGAAATCGACGGGGAACCTCACCCGGGCACCCGGGCACCTGGGCACCCGGGCACCCAACGGGCCGCCGAAATCGGCGCCCCGTCTCACCTAGCCATTTGAATCCGCTAGGACCCGTACAGAGGCAAGCTCTGATGGGGGAATTCAGTGCACAATATCAGCCAATACCCCCCCCCTTCCCCTTGGACTCCGCCAAGTTCGATACCATCGGCACAACTCTCCGATACCACCCTCCCGGGCGTCCAAGAGAGCCCCGGAAGGGCCCGAAGACGTCCCAGGGCGCCGGGAGACGGCCCAAGAGTGCTTCAAGGCTGTCCGAGTCGGCTCCCGACGGATCTGGAAGCCCCCCCCAAGCACACAAGAGGCTTCCAAGAGTTCCCCAAGGGCTCCGGGGAAGCCCTCGAGAAGCCAGAATCATTGAAGGCCGACGGGAAATTCACGATTTCCTGTTTTCCCGCGCTTCCGCCTCCGACATCGCTTCCGAGTTTTGCGCGCGCACCCCAAGGGAGCTCCATACGGCCTCCAAATGGCGTTCCGAACGGCGCCAAGTGGCCCCAAGAAGCCGCAAGAGGCTCCCATGACGCCCGAAGTGGCATCTCCGAGACCCCAAAGACGTTCCGAGCAGGCCCCACTGAGCTCCCAGGAGCGGCCCTTGGGGGCATGCGCAAGCCTCGGACGCGCATCGGTGACGGAAATGCGACAACATACATTCATACATTCCCGTCAGGTTTTGCAATGATTTTGGCTTCTGGAGGTCTTCTCTGGAGCTCTTGGGGGACTCTTGGAGGCCTCTTGGGGCGATCTTGTGTGGTCTAAGCTCGACCCACCCCCCTCCGTTCCCTCCTGGCTCAGGCTTCGGCGTGCCCTAGAGTGCGTTTCCGTTTTCCCCATCTCTCGCTGTCCTTTTTTGTCTATCTCTTTCTCCTTCTCCTTCCTCCGTCTCCCATTTCACATCTTTCTCTTTCTTGTCCTCCTCCGTCCTCCCCGCTGCGTCATTTTCCCGTCTCTTTTTCACGCCTTCCTCTCTCCGCCTCCCTCATGCGTTTCCGTCTCCCCCATTCCTCATCATCCTCATCTTTCCTTCACTCCTTCCTCCCTCTGCCTCCCTCACCCAGCATGCTGTTCCACCGTGCGGTGGGAGGCCCAGCTTGAAAAACAATGAATTCCCTCAAGTCCTTTTTTCAGGGTCTATTCCGCCCCCCTCCGCCTCGGTCCCAGGCTTTGGCGTGCCCGCGAGCGAGTTTCCAGTTTCCCCATACCTCGCTGTCCCTTCTCCCTGACCTCCCTTTCCTGCTCTTGGTTCTCCTCCGTCTCCCGTTCCGCATCCTTTTCTTTTCTCTCCTCCCTCCTCCCCGCTGCGTCATTTTCCCTCCCTCGTGCTCGTCTCTCCTTCACGCCTTCCGCTCTTCGCCTCCCTCGTGCGTTTCCGTCTCCCCCACCCCCTCGCTGCTCATTCCCCTTGACCTTCATTGCTCGTGGTTCTCCTGCGTCTCCCCTTCCACGTCCTTCTCCTTCCTCTCCCCATCCGTCCTCCCCGCTGCGTCCTGTTCCCTGTTCCCTCCTCCTCGTTTCTCCTTCACGCCTGGTTTTTGATGGTTTTGGCCTCTTGAGGTCTTCTCTGGAGCTCTTTGGGGACTCTTGGAGGCATCTTGGGGCGATCTTGTGTGCTCTTGGGGGCCTCCATAGCCAACTTTCAAACAAGGGAATTTCCACAAATCCTTTTTTCTCAAGGCCGACCCCCCCCCATCCGGTCTCTCCTGTCCCAGGCTTCGGCGTGCACCAGAGTGCGTTTCCGTTTTCCCCATCCCTCGCTGTCCGGTCTGTTTGTTCTCTTTCTCTCTCTTTTTCTCTCTCTCTCTCTTGCTCTTGGTTCTCTTCCGTCTCCCGTACCACATCTTTCTCTTTCCTCTTCTGGTCCCTCCCCGCTGCGTCATCTTCCAATCTCTCCTTCACGCCTTCCTCTCTCCGCCTCCCTCATGCGTTTCCGTTTGCCCCGTCCCCATCCCTCGCTGTCCGTTCTTTTTGATATTTTGTTTCCCCTTCTTGGTTCTCTTCCGTCTCTC